AAATTATGATCGTTTTAACTGTCAAAGTCAAATACTTCGATGTTGCCTCTTATTGGTCATCTGGACTGTCAATGTCATTTCAAATGTTCTTTTCTATTGGTCGTACTAAACTGTCAACGTCACAGACGTTGATGCTCTTTCTTATTCGACCTTAATGTATAAATACGCACTATCTGTAAGCCTTCATGAATCGGATTACAATTCCGTTTCTCCTGCCTACCTCTCTTTTGTATTCGACCCAATAAACAACTCCATCCCACGGTGTTGCGTTCTGATATCTAGGAGATGTGGAAATAACATTTTGGGTCGTATTGGGATATTTGAATTGGACGCCGCTAGGACTGAATAGCTATACGTAGCAGCGTTATAACAGAGCCATTCCAACAATAAGTGACGAAAAGGTAGTCTATTTACATTCATCCTAGAGTTGATTGTGTGGGTCGCCAAGTCAGCTGACTTTTTTCTTTATTACTTACTTCCGTACGCCTGTCACCTCCAATGGAGCATAAGCCTCTAAACAGCATTCTCTAACCTACTCTTTCCTGGGTGTTCCCTTCCAGTTCTATGTAATTGGTATTCATTCTTCTCATGCCGGTCTCCATTTCTCGTAGGCGTAATGTGTTTTTTGGTCTTCCTCTTTTCTTTTGACCTTGAGGATTCCAAGAGAGAGCTTTTTGTTATGATCCAGTTGGGTGCTTTTCGCGATGTTTGTCCTATCCACTTTCACCGCTTCTTCCTGATTTCCTACTCCACTGGAATCTCGTTTGTTCTCTCCTTCAGAAGGTTGTTCCTGATGGTGTCTGACCGACGGGTCCTCAGTACCATGCATAGACAACCATTAAAAAACACTTGTATCTTGTGGATGATGACTTTGGCGGCTCTCCACGTTTCTGCCCTATACAGTGGAATTGTCTTGAGATTTGTATTAAATTTTCTGACTTTAGTGTTAGTCGGAAGTTGTTTTGAGTTCCAGATGTTTTTCAATTGTAGAAATGCTTATTAGAAATAAATGGTTATCTGATCATAGGTTTCAGTAGATAAACACCATTTTTAAAGATGTATTGTTTTACTTGAAAAAACTTAAAAGATACACGGTGATTCTATCTAAAAACTTTAAATGATTTTCATGAAGGGCCGTGTGAGAAACATTATCCTCAAAAATGTCAAACATCTATCCTGATTTTCAACTTGTTTATGAACTTTTGTCAAATAAAATGTTTGGGACGTAGGATCCCCAGAACTCGCTTGACAAAATATCTTTATTTCGGATTTATTTCATGAACCGATCAGTTGACCTTGAGATCACAATTCTCACCAGGAGAATCCTTGGCTGTGATTGGTTACTGTGTCATTTTAGTGTGCTATTTTTTGACTGTCCCAAGAACGTCTCTATGAAGTATAAATAAACGCGATTTGTGTGCTTGCTGGGTGTTTGTAAAATACACTTTCTACGCTATATCAAGACTTCTTGTTGATACAATTGGGACAATCGGATCACAGTAGCCTACCTGGATCCTGGTTAATAGTTCTGTTCTCGTTATTCGACTAAGATGAACCTGTAATAGTTTAATCATACTTCGAAACGAGCATAACATAAACATTGCACAGATTTGATTAAATTGACTTTTGCGTATGAGTAGCAATGTAATTTATGTAAAGTGGTAATTGGAGCTGGTCGACAAGAAATTCTGGATCTAGTTTGTGTGTGATTTGGCACTTGACAGCAAGGTGTACACCTGTACCCTTGAAGAAACTGGTGATCTGTGTTGGGTTCGATTTCGTGTCATTCAGCTTTACAGTGTGACATGCTACCACTGAGTCATTCAAACCGCGACAAATTAAATCCAACATTTCCTGTCTATTACTTCCAATCACCATCACAGAACGCATGCAATGTCAAGTCACTGAGACCAGTGAACATATTGCAACTGAATTCAATCAGCACTGTTATGTCTGTGGTGTCAGAATGAAAAAAACCAAGGGGTTGGATCGAATTAGGTCTGTTAAATATAGCACAACTTAACATTTCCGACTACATGATGATTTACAGTCAGCCAATGAGGTTTAAAAACACAATAACAACAAAAGACCTACCGTAACTTTACCACCCATAATATTCATCATTGTAAATCGATGTTCACGAGCAACTTTGGTAAATACACTATAGATTTGTCGTGATAATTCTCGAGTTGGTGTAAGAATTATAGCAACAGGACCATCTAACATGGATACTTTATTTTGATGAAGCAATTCAAGTACAGGGATTACAAATGCAATCGTTTTGCCACTACCAGTAGGTGCTTGAGCAACTACATCTTGTCCAAGTAGAGCAGGTTTTATGACTAGTTTTTGAATTGTAGTCGGTTTTGTGTAACCGGACATTTTTAAACCTTTTAAAGTTTCTTTTGATAAAGGAAATTGTGTGAAGAAATTGCATTTGGATGGATCTAACTAAAAAAAGGCAATTTTTGAAAAATTTAATGTTTTACTATTGAAATGAGAACTTACATTTTGAATACGTTCTTCAATGGAAGACTGAGGGTCAGGGCCACGAGTCATAAGTAGAGAATTTCAAGTTGTCAAATAGTGGAAACGTATGATTGATTTGTTTGAAATATCGACACTCAACCTAAAATCAATAAAAGCAGGATGAAGTCACTATGAATTAAAGTTTATTGAACAAAATAACACACACTGATAAGCGCAAACAAAACTAAAATTCTATATGGCTAATCAATAAGATGTAGGACATGTGTTCCCGACCGAAGCTGCTACCTTGACGTGGTGGTCGGGCTTGCCTATCGTCATGACCCAACCGAGCTATACTGGCTGGAACATATGTTCCTGTAGGTTCTACCATGCCAGGCAGGTCGATTGGAGAACGATGAGACTAAAAGCAGCTACCCAAGGTCTGAGGGCGAAGTCGTACTGCTGACTGTGATGGAGGGGTGTGACAGCAGTAAGGTGTTTCCCTCGGACAACCAGCATCTGCAGCGATGCTGCCTTCTCACAAGGAAAGAAGGGTTAGAAAAGGTCGACCCTAAAAATGTCACATCTCACCCTACCTCGCAGATTTCCGTCTCCTTGGGTAAGGGTGCCCAATAAGGGCCTTTAAGAACGGAGCTAATCCTCAAAAAAACGTTTCATAAAAAGGCCGTGCGTGACCGGCCTCAAGCAGTTGTCCCTTGGACTCTGCGGTCACGCAACCAGGTCTCTAAGACCAACACTAATCTATCTTCCTTTTCAGGTCCCTCAAGAAACAACCTTCCACGGTGTGGGCAGCCGGGAAGTGATAACCGCCCTCATACCCGCAACAGCACACGAGACTTACTGAGGACATGTGCTAGACAATCAGTCAGTGACAACGTAGGACTTTGTACGTATGTACATGCATCAGTTCAAACGGCCATACCAGATTAGCAAACAAAGATGGGATTGTCAATTCAAATAACATAGTAGTAGTTTCTATGAGTAATGGAGAAGATCAGGGATAAAAGATATGATTCGCGAAGTATACTCCAGTGAAATAAATTTAAAAAAGAAATAACAAAGGTCACGGAGAATTCAAAAGATTAGAATTCGACAGAGTACAAAGAATAAATGCATCTGCGCCATTGCAAACGATTTGGAGGACACGTCATTGAAGGTCTCTAACCATCGGTTACGATTGCCTGGAGAGCCCCAACCAGGGAGCTTACATCTACCAACATGGCTTAGTTCACTTGACAGCGATTTCATGGATTTGTGCTTTGCTTTGGTTTGGCCGCCCGTAGATTCCTTTCAGCCTACTGCTACATCATAAAACATAGCTAGTCAAGGCAACCAGTGGGTTGGGCATATGTAATACATGTCGCAATCACCCCAACTGATGAAGTTTAAATTACTTCATCAATTGATTTACCGTCCTTACCTAGTACCCGTTCTAGCAGTCTACTCGATGGTCCCAAGGGTATACAAGCAACCCTTCAATGACACCTATGAACAAATACTAGTAATCTACGAATATCTTCTATTCTTACTGCCATGTTTTACACTCTTTAACTTGTACGAGGCGAACTGCTGCACAGTAAACGCGTCCTTTGGTTTAGTAGACGGATATTTCTCCTACTACACAAGTGAGGCAAGTCGGTAAAAATCAATCAAGCCTTCTGTACCTGTATCGAGGTTTCATCAAACACCAGGCCATCAGCACTGGTGACATTCCAAAATAATCGAAGCAGTGAACAGGCCCAAATACTTCAATCCCTGTAACTAAAGCGGGCGCTAACACAAACTAATCCTGAAGCGACATTCTGCATTGCGGTATTCAGAAAGCAGAGCACTTTGTCAGCGTCTTCACCAAGTGGGACTATGTCATTGGCATATTCTAAGTTATTAACTGAATCTCTTGGTAGGTCAACTCCAGTAAAATGAGAGGATGAAAATGTCATCTCTAAAACATGCCGACGACAAAGTTAAATGAAATGGGGAAAGTGAACAACCTTGACAAACACCACTTGAAGTAATCGATTTTGGTGACAGTTCTCCGTAAGGCTCTCGCTCGACTAGTAGTATTCGAGTAAACAGTTTGTACAAGGTTAGTGTACTTTTTGGTACACCTTTCAAATGAAAGCCATCGCCATAGAACGTCATGATCAGATTTAAAAGCTACAAGGTTGACAAATAAAATTATGGCTGGGAATCGGTATGCGCGTTCCAGAAACTAACAAGACGTCAATATTCGGTCTATATATCCTCGTCGAGGTCTGAAACTAGCCTCGTTTTTCTCGAGTCTGCTCTTTAAGAGCTCCAGATAGACGTCAAAGTATGATTTAAGCTAATATCTTAGACACTATTTTAGTTATACTGACTCCTCTGTGACTGTCATAAGAGGACTTTCGTCCCTTCTTATAGACAGGGCTGATCAGTGATTAAGACCAGCCAGATGGGATTACGTCCAGTTCGTGGATTTCTACTACAATCACAGTCTCACAGCTTAAAATTCTCAGGGGTTAATCTATCAGGGCCTGCTGACCTACCTTGCCTTAGGTTCCTTATAGCCTTTCCAATCTCATTAAGAGCTGGAGGACTCATGTTAACTTGAAAAATCAGGTTCACTGGAGATCGTGGGTAGATGAAGTATGCCTGAAGGTCAGTTGAATTATTCTGTGAAGTATTCTGCCCACCGTTCCAATATACCGGATCGAGAGTAAATAATAGTCCAGTATTTTTCCGAGATGGTATCACACACGTACACATTCCTGATACTCGTAGGCTTGATGATTCCGAAGGATTGCATACTATTACCTAAGGTCGCTGCCTTTTCCATCTCCTTTACTTTCGCTACTCACCACTGTTTGCGATAATTGCGTAGGTTTCTTATCAGCCTGTGCTTGAGCTAACTCCGCTCCTAATTTCGTTTGGAGCCAGATGTGATGAGTTCCTAAGCATCTATCAGTTCGGTAGATGTTAGTGAAATCGCGTTACTGCTGTCACATCCCACTACAGTCAGTCAACAATACGACCTCGCCCTCAGACCTTGAAATGCTGCTTTTAGTCTTCCCGTTCTCCGATCGGCCTGCCTAGCATGGTAGGTCCCTAAAGGAATGTGTTCAAACTAATACAGCTCAGTTGATTCGTCATGACTGGCAAGCCTGACCACCACGTCAACGCAGTGGCTATCTTTGAGACATTTAATTACTTTCTGCATAAATCAGATTAGGTAGTTGCGTACAGCTGCAAAACCTTACACAAATATGTACGTTGATGTCCAACACGTAAACATATAGTTGGCTACTGAGTTGATATATTTGTGTAAATGCATAAGTCATATTGGATCTATGATAATTAACTACAAATTGGTTATGTATCCACTTAACTGTTTATTTTAGGATGTTATTTAATAGTTACCTGTAATATTTTATGCTAGTATATAGTGATTACAGAAAGCTGTTAGTATTGACAGTTACATGTACTGTATAACACTAAATATGTAACTTTTATCTCATGGTGAACAATCGGTCGAATGAAATAGATAAGGTCTATAAGATCTTTGACACGCACACTAGCACCTATTATACATGACTCTGTATAGTTTACAAGCCAAAATGAGTAAAAATCCTTTGATGGGAATATACTTCAACTTTTATATACAGTTTACAAATACTGCAGCTGCTTCAACTCTGGCCTAAGATGCTAATACATTTGAGATTGTTTAGCGTATAAAACCGAGTTATTAACTAGTATATAAGTACTCCTCAACGATGAGCGCTTACGAAACTTTGTACTATCGTGAAACACGAAGCAACTGTACATATCTAAATGAAATTTTGCTAATTTTATGGAAGAATTATTACCATCAAATAAATTTACTTATACTGTGAACAAATTATAAAAATATGATGCCAATTTAATATATATAATACATAATAAATAACTAAAAACAACAACACACCTCGAAACACGAGTTGTAGGTGTGACGAAATAGTCGAAACTACCGGGATTCAGTACTCAATATTGGATATATGGTATCGTATTCAGAAGCTATTCAAAAACATTTAATTTATTACGTTTATTTCACGTTTTTTCGGTAAAGCTCCGATGTAGAGCCGTTTTTTCCGGTATGGAACTCATCAGAAGTCTGTCCACTACTCCGGCTACTCATGAGATTCGAACCCAAGACTTTCGGTCTGCAATGCTAGAGTCTAGCTTCTTCAGGTTTGTTCGTCAACCCTTCCACTTTGTGTAAGTTGTGTGCGCCGCCTTGTGCCGAATGTTCATAATATGAAATTTCGACTGGTTTAACTTTAAACCGTTTTTCGCTGCCCATTTCTTAATAGACGTAAGGTTCTTTTGACGCTCAGTTGAATGCTATTTATTTCTTATGGACCTCCAGATCTTTGTGTCGTCTGCGTGGATCAGTGACGCAGTGCTAATTTTATCTGACAAGTCGTTGATGAATATCAGTAAGACTACTGAACCCAAGATTCTTCCCTGTGAAACTCCTGATGTTGAAACTCGCCAGCTCACACGCACTCAGTATACATTATTGCTGAATCTATTCTCATGTTAGTGTCTAAGCCAAGATAGAAATGGAGCTCCATGTTGAGCTCCATGGAAGATTTTGTTGTTATCCGTTTACTCACTAATTTCCTGGTTCACCAGTCTTTCCATTAATTTCGACTCTATTTTTATTGATCTGACTGGTCTGTAACAGACTGGATAATTCTTGTCTCTTTCATTGAAAATTGGAGGAAGATTATCTTACTTCCATTCAGTTCGGGGCTGATGTGACTCCACTGAATTCCTGAACAGATCGCATATCTGTGAACTGATGGCTTCTTCACACTGTTTTAAGACCGTAGGCTGAATACTGTGACATCCTGGTAACTTTCTTAAGGGTATGGAGTTTTTATTTTTATTAGAACTAAGTCATGAGAAAGTCGGATATTCCCTATGCCCTCAGCTGGCCCTGGGTTTTAGCAGTACTCTGAAATTATACCTAGCTGGTTTAACTGATCAATGACGTTAATGTTAAAGATCTCAGCCATCTCTGTATTGGTAAAACCGTCAACATAGGACCTTTTAGAGCATAACCACCTTTGTTTGTAAGTTTACTTTCGGCCAAAAACCTAAAGAGAAATTCTGGGTATGTCTGTAGCTTGAAATCTAGCTTCCTCAGGAAGTGTCTCTAATCGCTTGGTTCCTTGTAATTTTATCTGTTTCTCGATGCCAAATGAGAAATTTTTAATGACTATAAACTCCACCACAAGCCATTTACGTCCTGGTCTTAATTCGTTATCTTGTCCTGAACCAAAAACAGGGAAGAGATAGTCCAGATGAGTGGGTATATTCACTGTCAAATTCGTGGTATCGAAAGAATACCCAGATCGTGCCAGACAAGACGGGCGAAAATGTACAGAGCAGCAAAAGCAAGATACCACCCGCGCAACGGGAAAATATTGTACAAAAAACGCCAATGATTAAGAAGTTCAGTAAAATAACTACTGGTATAATTGGTTACAATAAAGGATGCATGTATTTAACCAGTCGCGTTTTATTCGTAAAAGTGGGATCATTAAAAACTAAAATCTGAATCATTCAGTGACACTTTCCGCTTGTTCTGGGTTTTCTTTTTCGCCTGCAGCAAGTGTTCAGTGAACAATTAACTCATGCTCTTCCCTTTTCCATTTGTTTGGTGTGCCTGAGGTACATAGAGTAGGACGGCATTTTGAATAATGTTCCTCACTGTTTGTCAGCGACATCTACCGTTAGTCTCTACCTTTCCCGTGTCCATGGAGCGTGTAGAAGATGCTCTGTCATGAGTCTGTAATTTGCGCTAGCGTAGCAATGGTATGGCTTGTTTTCGTCCCTACTTGGTATTTCATATATTTCTATGTTAAACATGACTGCGCCATGGTTACTTCTTCCAACTGAAGTACAGATATGAACATAATCGATCAGGAGCCAGCAAATTGGTTACAACTAATCCAGGTCTAATGGTTTCCCATCCTTAATCCATCTAGTGCCGCTCAGTCAATTCCAAACTATTATTGGCTGCACCAGGTCACCGTTGAAACCAACCTGTGGGAGTTGTGCTCTGTTTTCTGAGATTTGGAGATGGGGTATTGAATTCTCCAGCGACGAGTATTCGATCAAACCAACGGAGTAGTAGTTGCAGTATTGTCCATGTAAATCTATGTTTCTGGGACGTCTCACGCCAGGGAGGTCGGTAAATCCCTACAATCAAGCATTTTGTGCTATTTGTGTTGAAGTAACACAAGCATGATTCTTTGTCATCGGTTGGTTGGGTGCAATGTAGTCATTTAGCTTTCAAATGGCTGTTAATATATATATATATAGCCCCTCCGTTTTCTATGATCGGATTTTTCGGATTGCGTAGCACAAATATACCACGTTTCTCAAATTAATTTCATCCATTCATTGTTCCATCAAAATGGAGTTGCCAAAAGTGCTCATACAGTCTACCATATGCAATGTGACTGTTAGGCCATCACATAGAAATTTTTGCTAAGGTGCTTTTCATTTACTAGCATTTCGATCGCGACCTTCTTTATAAGCAGTTCTTAGTTGATTGCAATCTCTGATCAATATCAGTGTATACACAGTTTGCAAATATAATACCGGTTTGGTGGCTTCCATTTAAATACGGACACCATCACCATAGAAAATTTAATAGAAGCATAGCCTGTTGATCAGATATAGGTTTTTCCGAAATGACCACCATGTAATAGTTTGCAGTTCGCACGAACTACTTTGCGTTCCGGGGTGCATAGCAAATAGATTATCTCTGTTTTCTACTTGGTCACTGATTTTCGGAAGGCAGCTATTTCACCTTTATCAATAACAAACTGACAAGGTTATTGGACAGAGACACCTTCTAGGTTAGACCAGGAACGTGGGATTATTCCCACTGATTCTTGCTTATCTCTCTTCAGTGTGAACAACCTAGTATAAAATGGCAGGCTGGCTGAGGTGATTGCCATCAGAAAGTTTTAGCTTCACATAAATTCAGTTAAAAATTATTTCTTAAGAAAATTTACCACCACAATCTAGTATAATGCATTTGAATATTTTATAAGAAGGGCAACTTTGAGAGTGAAAAATTCCCGTGATATTATGACTTTTATATTTGAATGGAAAATAAGTCAATATTAATTACTTGATGTAAAGTATAGTTGCTCTGTCATATGGTTTACTGAACTCATCTTTAAATATTTTGATCATTGTATATTTCATTTTATCTGTATGTATCGGGAACGATTGATAAATCTTGTGAAGTTAAGTCCATTTTCTTGTTGTTCTTACTAATCTTAATTATTTCGTGTGTCTGACATTAATTATTATTTATATATCATAAGCATACCCAGTAAAAACTCACATGTGAGTGAATTGCATATTCCGTTATTTGTAGTCGGATATAATTAGCACCCCACAATGAAACCTATAGGATCGACAAGAAGACAGCTTTCAAGTCAGCGTATAGAAATGTTCAAGGACGAATTCTAAGGTCTATGGAAATCTTTGCTATGCGTGGATTAAAACCCACCATTTATATGTACAGAAACAGTTTGTCATAGCCTAGAATTTAATTTTGAAGACATTTTATGGCCTAGAATATTGAGACAATTTACTTTCCTTTCCATAATTCGTTAATATTCTCTTTCAGTAATCACCTTATGTTAATGTGAACTTTTATTTAAGTGACCGTTATTACTAATTTTCAAATGAAGTGCCTTGACAAATGTGTACGTGCGTGATCAGATTATTTGAAATGTATAATGTAAGTGCACCATATTTTTTAGATCAACTACGTCTACTCGATTAAAGTATTGCCTAGAGAGGGAAGAATGTCGGCAAATTGAAATATATGGCATGAACATTGTACTTTTAAGATCAGCGACAAATGTGGGCGAATACAGTCAATAACCTATTTAAATTAAAAATCCATTGTGGTGAAGGGGAACACAGGTGAGGGCAACCGAATTGCATTTATCTCAAATTACAGAGTTAATTGGTAAAATAGGAAAGCAGATTCCCTAATTCTGAAGTTTTTATCTATATCAATTGTCATTTATTACTATTTCTCAATTAGAGTTACGGAGATTAGTGTTTTTAAACATTGAAATCACCAATCAGTCATTGTTTGATCAGCATTAGGAACCTGAATGCACTGGACGGCCGTCAAATCCTAGTGTGGAACTCATCAGCTGTGTGCATCCACGACTCCTGCATCTTGTTGGATTTGATTCCGAGACCTTCGGTCTTGCGCGCAACCTCTGGACCACTGAGCCGATTTTAATGTCGAACTCTATTCTTATTAGAAACAAGTTCACTTTTTAAATGCTTATTGGATGGATCATAGATTCATTTTTTCTTTTGTTCTTCACTTTTCCATTTCCCTCAGATCACAATTACGATATAAATTACTTGATTCAAGCTGAAAGAAGGGTTAACAGAAAAAGACTTTTTTAACTATTATTATTAATATTACAATATGTCGACCGAAGTATTATACATAAATTTATGCTTGCGGAAAAGGATCAAATACATTTGAATGTCCTTATGCTAAACAATACAGTGTATTAAGGTCGACATTTACAATTACAACGCAAACGACCATATGGACCCATTTGTAAATTTCTAGTCGTTGTGATAGGTGCTATTGTCGTTGTTGTTGTTGCAATCGGTGGACAAGGATAAGCTTTATTCTCCTCGTACGGTTGTGAACGTTTTATATTACCCCTGAAAAAGAAGTAATGAATATGATGAGCAATGACTATGCTCGACAAGTCGATTGATATGGGATTGATATGAGAAAATGTTTTTGGTGTTTCTCAGTCATTTTTAGTGTGTAATCATTTGCCTGAGAAGGAGTAATCATATTGTTCTACTCAGCTCATTCTACCTTTTAGTTATAAAGTTAAGGGGATGAGTGTTTGTTGCACATTGAAATCATCAATAAATCACTGTTAGACCACCATCAGAAACTTGAAAGTACTGGACGGCCTTCAAATCCTGGTATGGAACTAATCAGCAGTGCTCATCCACTACTCTTGCACCTCGCAGGATTCGAGCTCAGGACCGTCGGTCTTGCACGCAAACGCCTAACCTCAAAACCACTGGGCAAGGATCGAACGGTATTAATGTCTAACTTTGATCAATCTATAGATTTTGCGTGACCTGACCCATTTGTCTTTGATATTTACTGCCTATATCCGACAGGGATGAACTCCACTGGCTACGTCTTCCTACTAGAACTCCAAGAATTTCCGCATAACGCTATTCACTAGAGGTTAAGCGTTCTCGCGCAAGGCCGAAGGTCATGTGTACGAATCCTGTGAGGTGCAGGAGTCCTATACCAGGACGAAACGGCCATCCAGCGCTTGCAGGTTTCTACTGATGGTCTAACAGTGACTGATTGTTGATTTCAATGTGCAATATAGATATTGAATTTTTTGATATGGTGAATAAGTTCATACAAAAAGTTATGAATTATTTGATGTTAAGTAGTATTCATCTTTAATCATATAAATATGACTGTAGGTAATCATATCAAAAGTAATGTTTATATACATGTATATAATTATCATGTTGATTTATTTCCTGGGTCAGTATATATTCCATATAATTTCCGCAATATACGTATGGAGATTGTTGAGTTTTATTGAAATGATGAATCGATCAGCTTTAGACCACTATTAGAAAGAAACCTGGAAGTAAAATACGGCAGTGTCGTGTTGGTATAGGATTCATCAGCTGGCTCATTGGTCTAAAGGTTAAGTATTTGAGAGCGATACTGAAGATTCTGTGTTCGATTCCCGTGTGTGGTATCGTGAGTGCTTATTACCACTGATGAGCCCCATACTAGAATGAAACTGCAGTCCACAGCTTTCAAATATATGCTTGTGGTCTAACATTAATCGATTCATGATTTTAATCAAATCTTGCATAACTAGTATTTGTGTACTGATTACTTGTTGTTAAGTTCGGTGTTATATTAGCAGGTATTAGTCAGTTAGGCATACCGAAGACATAAAATTATGACAGTGGGTAGTAAAATGATTCGATTCATTTTTACGCTCATCCTGTAATGATCAAAGGTTTAAATAACTATGTGAGATCCAGATACATCCAGTTGATAATTGATAAACAGGACGAAACACGCATCCTGGATTCCACTGCTAACCACTATCCATTTCTGCTTAAACTGCATTTAATGTAATGGTTATATAGAGTTCTATTCACACAGGCTGTACAAATGCTGAATGAGACTGACTGATATCGGTTTTAACTATCAACGGAAAGATTCAAGCCGTCATTACATGTGAATGAAACATTTGATTCAATGAACAATGAGTTCGTTCATGTATTCGATTCAGTTTACAATACTGTACATCAAAGTTGAATACTACAACATCATATAGATGTTGTTTTAACAAGTCAAGCATTTAAACGATTCTTATAAGTTCTCTGTTTTATTTAGTTATCACTAAATTGAATGGATAGTTTGATTGTGGAAATTTCGTTGTTCCTCTGAACAACAACAGAATCAGAACAAACATCAGATAGAATCGAATTTCTTCATGCATAGCTCCTAGATTGCCCTGTCGCCCTTGATCTTGCTTGTTTATCGTTGAGCTTTCAGTCGATTTATTTCGATTGTATCCATCTTTGATCAGATACTTGTTCCTATATTTGTTCATGAGTTTTCTGATTGGGTGATAAACTGGGTCGATTTCAATTTGTCTAATGATTGCTAATCAACATGAGTGCAAAACTTCTAAAAAAATAATTGCAACTCAAAGAATGAAACTCCATCCAACTGAGCTACAAATTTTCTTCACTACCTCACAATGTCACATCGCTAATATCTTTACTAATGTATGTAGTGAATATGCCTTCTTGATTATTGTACATTTAGTCATTTATTCATTCTAAACACACATGACATTCATCGAGTTTAGACTGCCACTGAATTAGACACTCAAAAGGTACACTATACAGAAATTAGATCAAATCACTATAAGCAGTCACTTTCAGTGAGTCCAGATTGCAAATCAATGGTAGGGAAAGAAATCATATAGAACCAATAAACTAAGTCATTACTGGTTCACGCTGAGTGACTAATCACAGTTTTCTATTCACTAGGCACATCAATAAACTTACATTGGTGAATAATAACATACGATTATTTGACCTGATTTGACTTGAGGACGATGTCTGCAACTTCTAACAGCACAACCTATGAATTCAGCTTCACTTGACACCATCTGCGGAGTTGGTAAAAAATTGTTTCAAAAAAATTTTCTTCCGTTAGACTTATGGAGATTAGAGTTTTTACGCGTTGAAATCATCAATCCAGCAATCATTGTCCGGTGTAGGTAGTACCCAACAAAGACAAATGGGTGAGGTCTTGCAAAATCTGTAGATCAATCAGAGTTAAACACTAACACCGTTGGATGCCGGCTCAGTAGTCCAGAGGTTAGGCGTTTACGTGCTAGACTGAAGGTGCAGGAGTCTTGGATGCTCACTGCTGATGAGTCCTATATCTGGACGAAACGGCCTTCTTTCAGTGCTTTCAGGTCTCTAATGGTGATCTAACAGTTATTGATTGATTGATGATTTCAATGTGTAAAAATGTTTGTCATAAAAGAAAATTACTTGGAAAAAAAATCATCATTTCGAGTCTTCTTGAGTTACATGTGCACATTGCTTAGGAGTTCCAAAGTAAAAAAAATTAATTATCTGCTAATCGTTGGATGATTGAGCATCGTTGAACCATTTTATACGAAATAACCTAATGCTCTCCACGATTCCAATTGTTTTGAGTGTGATTCTTCAATGAATCAATTTAGTGCTTTGATGAACAGTTCCATATCAGTACGTCGGAAAGTTACGTCGTGAACTTGTTGAATTGACTTAAACAGTTATGTGATTTTTCACTGACAATTTGTACTTGAAATAACTTCTTCTGGAACCCCTCTCTGTGGCTACTACCGGTCCAAAGCCCGGATAAAGGAGAAAGGTTGGTCGTTGGGTTTGTGAACCCACCCAGTAAAAAACTAACTCGATGAAAATTCGCTAACCAGGAAAAAAGTAATTATACCCGAGATAAATTGTTAAGGTCGTCGGATGGAATTCAAGTGCCATAAACGTTTATCCAAAATCATTAATTCTAATTATTTGTTCATTTTTTTGTCATTTTGAAAACATCTATCCGTTGAATAGATGTTTGAATCGGTGTTGCGTTTAATAATTTAAGTAGCTTTCGGTTTAAGTATCGAAAAATTTATTCAAAAACAGTCTCTTTAATATATATTTTGATAGAATAATAACGAGAATACTTGGGTGATCTGAAAAATGTTGGGAAATATACATTTTGAACTGTCGGGTCACATACATATATATACACTTGTCAAGACATCTTATATGAAACTTAATCAAAGGTCAATTCAATGAAAGTTCAGATAGACATAAGGTGAAAATTGTAAATGAAGGCGAGAGAAAATTTACGTAATATAGAAAGAATAAAAAAGGGTAGGAAAGTGTCACATTACTCGAGGCTATAAAATGTTTTTAAAGATGACCCGGGTAAATTCAAGGCTACGACAAACGATTTCTGTACACAAATGCGTGGTTTTAATTCACAAATAGCCAAAGCTTCCATAAACTTCAAAATTTGTCCTTTAACATTTCTATACAATACTATGAAAGCTGTCTTGATGTCAATCTTATGCTCTGTCTAAATTATGTGTTTTGCGATCGATGAACATGATTTTTTTACTTCCCACGTTTATTTGGTTATGTGAAATTAACCGAGTTTGACACCACTTGGATTCATATTACATAAACCTTGCTTACAAAGTTCGATTACTCCTCCCTATGTATGTACACATGTCTACAAACCCGAACATATAAATTGATCAATCCAATCGGATGTGATGTAATTGTTCGAGCAATGTCTAGGCCTATGTGGAATCATGAGCTTGGTCTTTTCAATGATAATCAGTTTAGCAGCGTCGTATGCTTTCTCTACGGCTGCTTTTAGTAGCTGTCTAAATGTGGTGCGAACTACTTATAAGTAGTATATGACGTGAGTGTCAACGTAATGTCTGGCAGCCGAATATGGGGAAGATCAAGGAAGGAAGAGTTAGAAAACAATTGAATTTGTATGAAACGCATGAATAGTGACAATGGATTGATGTTTGGCAACAGGAACAGTCCAGATCGATAGGATGGATGAACGATTTACGATATGGTATTCCGATTTTACTGAGTAACTCTGTAATTTTCGTTAAATACAATCCGGTTGGCCCACCTGTGTTCTCGTTCACTACATTTGGTGTCGTTGCCTGCTCGAAGAAAGGAGCTTCCGCGGCCGAAGGAGCTTCCTGGATGAGTTGAGGCCGCGATGGAGCTGGTGGGGTTTCGGGGCGGGGTTGGCGGTGCTGAGGACGCTTCGGGGAGGTAAGGCGAAGGCGGTGTACGACAGCCTGGACGGTGCCGCCGGGAAGTCGGCGTGGGAGACGGTCACCGGGCGGCTGATGATGGAGCTGGACAGTCCGGTGGACAGGGAGGAGGCGCCGCAGAGGTTCCGGTTGGCGAGGCTGTCGGCTGATGGTGACCCGTTGGTGCTGGCTGTGGAGCTCACGATGTTGCTGCGCCGTGCGCTGCCGAGTATGGATGGGGAGTCGGGGGCACAGTTGTTGGCGTCGCAATTTATCGAGAGTGTGCCTGCCGCCGTGTCCCAGCAGCGGGAACTAGCAAACGCTACACGTTGGATAGATGCCGTACCCATTCCAGACCAGTGGGCAAGAACAATGACTGAAGTAGTTATCCGGCATATTGTAGCGCGTCACGGAATATGGAAGGTGATATTTACTGAACAGGGTTCCTGTTTTCAAAGTGACGACAGCTTATTAAAAGGAGGGACGAGTGTGGTTCTCGTACACCACATTAATATTAAACCCAACTGAGTCACAAGACAAGCCCTCACGTGGAACCCTTAAGGTCAACGGAAAAGAGGAAGGCTAAGGAACACATTACGCCGAGAAACAGAGAAAGATATGAGAGGAATGAACAAAAACTGGAAAGAACTGGAAAGGGAAGCCCAGGATAGAGTTGGTTGAAGAAAACTGGTGTGCGGCCTATGCTCGATTGGGGGTAACAGGCGTAAGTAAGTAAGTAAGTTAAGATTAAACCATTTGATTCACCTCTAAATAGTAAAACGAAATAAACACTTTTCGACAGAATAAAAGACTGGCTTTCATCTTAACTCTGAGAACTAAATCCCAAATTTTCTCAATCATTTCAAACAATAAGCTTGAATTTGTTGATTATTTTTTGGTAAAATGTTTTTATCAACTTCAAAAGTTCACTTACTTTTTTATAATGTAAACAATTCCTACGAACTTGACATTGATTGCTTTTGAAATTATACCATTTATATTCATCAAACCATGATTTTACAGCACTATTTTTTCGATGGAAAAAAGGAGGTAGAATAATTTGAAATATTTTTATGATGCTTAATTAAAATTACTTTGTAACATTGTTATTATCCGCCGTGTTTATCTCAATTGTATCGCCATATTCTTTTTTCACTTCAGTTTTCCTGTATTCAGTATTCAAATCACATGCTTCTGCTTGTCTACCTGCTAGACTTGCCAATTCTGGATCCCAATACTTTGAAATATGAAATATGAATGAATATTTGCGTGAAATATATAAAAACAAATAGAATTCATTCAAAAGTCCAAAATGTGACCAGTAGAGTTCATTCCTGTTGAGTGTAGGTAGTAACTACCGAAGACAAATAGATGCGCAAAATCTCTAGATCAATCAGAGTTAGTCAATAATACCGTTGGATGCCAGTCCAGTGGTCCAGAGGTTAAGTGTTCGCGCACAAAACTGAAGCTCCAAGGTCCGAATCCTGCTAGGTGCAAGAGTTGTGGATGTGCACTGCCAGTGATGAGTCTCATACCAGGACGAAACGGCCGTCTAGTGCTTTCAGGTTTCTAATGGTGCTCTAACAATGATTGATTGATTAGTTGATGATTTCAATGTGTAAAACACTCATTTCCATAACTCTGAATAATAAAATCTTTCAATATACACATCTTCTTCGAACCCAAATATATTAATACATTACCCTAGAACTAGCTACGTGATTTATCAATCCCAAATGATGAGTGTAAGTTGATTCAGTCTGTAATACTGTCGCCTTAAGTATTTATTGATGTAGCTAAATCCTAAGGATGATTTCAATTGATGAAATAAGGTGTTTTTACATAGTAATCTCTCAGCGAAATGGTTTATCTGTCTATATTCATGAACATTACGGATTTGTGAAGATTGTTGAGTTACTATGTTTTGTTCGAAATCGAGAATCGATCAATTATGTTAGACCACCATCAGAAACCAGGAAGCATTAGACAGTCATTTCGTCTTGGTATGGGGCTGATTTATCAGTGATATTGAGAATTCACGACTCCCGCTCTAGAGAATCAAACCCAGATCCTTGAGTCTCGTGCAAGAATGCATAACCTATGAACTAGTGAGCCGGATTCTAACGTTGTTAATGTCTAACTTAAGTCAATCCACGATATTGTGTGATCTCATCCACTGGTTTCCGTCGGTAATTGCTTCGCAGATGAAAGAATAGAAATCCATTGGTTCCAGCTGTTTACTAGAACTGTGAACATCTCCACAATGAAGGTAGTCACAAATGAGCACAAATTGTATGATTTTCATTATAAACGACAAAAATAATCCATTCATTATTTTCAGGCATCTAATTCTGACCTGACGACAATCGATTCATGATTTCGATAAAAACAGTCAACAATCCCTACAATTTTATCGTTAATTTTCATTAAAAAATTACTTATCACTATTAGTTCTGAATAAATAAGTCGAGAATCTTTAACAACCAAAGGATATTTATTTCCATGAATTATGAAAATCATAATAACGTGCTCACTAGTGATTATATTGATGAGAGAATTCTCACAGTGCTGGTTAAGAGCCTAAAGCAATGGATTGCAACCCTTTCAGGTGTGAAGTAGAATTACCAACCGTAACCAGTGTGGTGCGCGCTACTTATAAGTAGTATATGACGCGAGTAAAAACGTAATGTCTGGCAGCAGAAGATGGTTGGTGAAGATCAAGAAAGGAAGAGTGGGAACACAATGGAATTTGTATTAAACGCATGAATAGTGAAATGTCAGACAATGGATTGATGATGGATTGAAGATTTGCAAATTAACCGTTTACGATATGGTTTTCCTATTTTACTGAGTAACTCTGTAATTTGCGATAAATACAATTCGGGTTGCCCTCACCTGTGTTCTCCTTCACTACACCAGTAGTTTAGGTCGCACAATATCATGGAGTGATTACAGTTAGACATGAACACCGTTGAATATCAGTTCGATGATTAAAAGCATACGAGATCGAAGGATCTGAGTTCGATTCCCACGAGCAGGGTTAGTAGATGTTCAATGCCAATGATGAATCTTATACTAGGACAAAATGACTGTCTTCTGCTTCCGCGTTTCTAATAATGACCATAAAGTAATCGATTTTCATAATTTCACTAAAAAAAGTACTCAACAATCCCCACAATTCTCATTGATAAAAAACTTATCACTGTTGTTATTGTAAATGGATTTCTACGGTGGCAGTTCCAATGGGTTCCAATAAGTGCACTCCTGAACTCGTTTCTCCCAGTCCAAGGTCCAGAAAAGGCTAAAATTCTAGGAGAAAATGGTCTTATTAATAAAAACATGGAAATACCTGAAATCAATACACCTTCCAGGTTACAATTACTCCGAAGAGTATCCGAAACAAAGATAAATAAGTGACGTTAAATCCAACAGCTACCGTATCAATCCAAATATGGTTGTAGCCATATTAAAGATCAAATTTAAACAACATATATACAGATCAGAAGCAAACACAAAAACTTCAATATAAGTACAAAATATAGAAATAATAACAATATACAATGATAAAATCTCAAATTGGAATCAAATAAAATACCAAAAATGTCAACAGAAAGAGTCCGTCATGTCATAACAAAAATATGTAAACATGGAGGGATTTTCCAAAAAACAAAACATTCATAAAGGATTCTACACC